ACTAGTCTTGTTGCGCCTATCTATTGGTCTCGTGCCAGCCGCTGAAAACCCTCAAGGTTTCGCGTTTAGGCTTTCGTGCTTTCTCCGCCTCTGGGTCGGCGGACTGAGCCGGAGGCTCTTAAGTATGGGGTATACGGGTCCAAGTACCCAATGATTAGGGGTAATAGTAATTCTAGTACAGATTTTAGGTAAGTATATGATTATTAGGTACGTGGACCCTTAGGGCTTACGGATTATTAAAAGTCTAGGGATTAAGGCAATCTGGGTTTTGGGGAGTAAGGTTAAGGGTTCGAGGTTTTAAGTGGGACGTAGGCTTCATAGGGTTCATAAGAGAGGTATAGCGGTTGTAGGGGCTGTATAAGGTTTAGGGAGTAACCTCTAGGCGTTCTAAAAGCTTTACGGTTCAGGCATTTAGGGGTTGAAGCTTGAAGCACTGCGGAATCTAAGTGCTTCGGGCTTTCGGATTTAAAGCTTGAAGCGCCTGCCAGCTTCAAAAAGAATGAATCCCAAATGAAAATCCGAAATGGTATAACCCTTTTTTTATTTCCTATATGATCCCAGTTTCCATAGTATTTGCACTTTCTTTCCATCTGATTATACATCTTTGAAGGGATGGCTAACCCGAACACAAGAAGCCCTCCACACGCGGATGCTTGGGGGAGCAGGGAGTCGTTCCAAATAGTCGCTGTGGAATGCTCTGCAGTAGTCCTTGTTACTCCCCGACTCCCTTCACACACCAGTGGGCCCAGCAGACTCTCATGAGCCCTAAGCTTAAGCCTGAACCCTAAACACCTAAACTCCAAACTCCCTCCCTTCAGCACCAGGAGGTCCAGTGAGTTCAATCCCAAGTAGCAGGTGCGGCAGCTCATCGCGAGGCTCGAAACGAAGAGGCAGTGAGATCCAGTGACTCTGATGACGCTCTGTAGTGCCTCGAGGGTGCAGGGTTCAGGTTTTAGGGTTTAGGGTTCAGAGTTTAGGGTTTAGGGGTGGCGCAGGGTGTGCGTTTCTCGGTTGCACGGTATGGCAATTAGCGTTGCTGTTGCTTTTGCTACCCGATGAGACGTTTGAAAGGCTTGGCCAAAACGGTCACAACGTTTCAAAACGAGGTTTCGCGTTTATTTCAAGTTCGCTTGTGCTGTTAAATTTCAGTCCAAGACCACTCTCACTGAACTTGACGGCTGCAGGAAACCCAGGTGGTGGATATGCAAAATATCGAGATGAGCATTTTGCGTACCCTCTGGCGAAAAAGCCGCTACATTGGTACTGTGATCCCTTGCAAAAAGGCAACTCAATGTTCTTGCACTTAGCATTGCAGGAAGAGAAATTGATTCCTTCCTCAACCCGGCTGCTTAAGCCAGTCGAAACCTTAAGTCCCTGAACCTCACGCGCTGAACCTCTGCCATAATTCTAAGTTCTCTGGGATCCCACCAGATATTATAGTTTCCGTGTTTTAGAGCTTAGGGTTTAGGGCTTAGCTGGCTGATTAACATAACCCCAAATGTGATTTAGGCTTTGATTTGCCGTCGTACTCTCCCTCCTGAGGACTATAAAGCACCCAAATAAAACAGCACTCTAAGGATCAGCTGCTGGGCACGAGCTTCTTGGACGAAGCCTTCCCTGACCTTGGGTGCGAACACGCACGCCCCCTTGGAAGGATAGGCTACATCTAATACAATAGGTAGCCAAGGTTTTGGTTTTTGTGTGACAGCTCAAATATTCGGTGCCGTATGAAGATGGGGAAACGTAAGCCCTAAAAGGGGCGGTGGCTTTCACAGCCGCTCACGTGCAGTTTTTCAAAAGGGCGGTACCCGTCGGAATGTTGAATCCTCATGGGAGTGTAACGAGGCGATCTGTTGGCAGCCCCTTCATGCTGGATTGGTTTCAGGTGTAGGGCTTAAGATTAAGAAGTGTCTTCCTTCTCGCCGGAGAGCGCTATATGGTAACGCGTGCAGAACAAGATGACACTGGGTCCAACACAACAAGATCAAAACAAGGACCGATTTTCTCCCACGCCCAGTCAGATTCGACATTTGCCGAAAACTGAGGGTCGCCCTAGCCTCTGCGTAGAAACAAAATAGCAAAGTTTTCCCTTACTGTTGTAGGATTGCATGATAGTTGTGAGCAGGTGCTAGTAAGCACATCCACAGCAGGAGAAGAAGCCACGACTGGTAACTGCACTCCCCGGACAACTCCAAAGTTCACAACGGACTACCCGACTGACCCCCGTACAGCACCGTTCGTGACCACACCTTATCTGGAATGTAAAGGCCAGTGGCCACAGCCGGTGCTTGCAAAGGTAGCCCAATAGGCTGTCCTGTCGAAGAAGGCGTGGAATCAGCGAGGCTTATAAAGTTCTCCAGGTTCATATTGAAATCCGACTAGTTACCCAGCAGAAAGCATATGAATCCCTTCATACGAAAATTAGACATCCCCCTCAAGTACCCTCCCAAGAGACCAATATATCTGTGGACATGTTGAAAAGTAGGGTGGGGGCTTGCTTTGCAGGATCTCTTACTGGCGGGCTGCTAGACATTCTGAAGTTTGCATGGACCTCTCCGAGCAAAGCACTGGGGTTGAACCCTGGCATATGCCCTAAGGGGCTCGGGCTCAGGGGATTAACGTACTCAATGTCACACAGCTCAGAAATGCAGAATTATCATGCGCAACGGTACATGTGATCACTATGTTCGAAGCTGGCTGGGGCTAGTTTTTAACATGGGCTGAAAATGTGCTGGGAAGGGCTGCTGGGAGGTTTGGGAGTTGGGAGGGTTAGGAAAGGTTTGGCCTTCAAGATTTCAGGTTTTGGAATTTGGGTTTTGTCCTTGGAACTCTTCTGTACAAATTTCTTCATGAAAGCTGTTCGAAAGCAATTCAAGTCTTCCAAATCAAGGTGATCGATCCCGAATTCTTAAAGTCATGCTAGGGAACCCCCTTAATTCCTAGGATTCAAAGAACCTCAATTAACTGTAGGCTAAAACCCTAAACCATAAACCTAAACCCTAAACCCTTGACCCTTGTTAAAGTAATCTTGGAGGCAGATTTCAGAATTCGGAATCCTTGGGCAACCGTGTTTTATGCTGCTGTGGTCTCATTAAAGCAATGAGCCCGTCCAAAGCCTTCCTTCTGCATCTTCCCTCTGAAATTCAGAGGCCCCATACATCCCTACACACCAAACTCTGTGTAATGTCGCAAGAGGACATGGCCAATGTTGCTTAATATTCTTTCCGGGCCATGTCATCCACGTTGTCACCCCTCACTGTATAGTCTTGTTTTCCAACCTCAGCCCCCAACCCACAACCGTCAAATTTGAACTTTCTAGTTGATCATATAATGATATAATGGGTACTACTGCTATTAATGGTAGTTCTACTATTATTATTGCTAGTCACTGTATACCTGCATGATATAGATATAAGGCCTAAACCTGATCCGGATTGCACGGTGTCCTGCCCGTGGTCTGTTGGTGCCATGACCAAGACATGTCGCATGCGCCCGCGATGCTCTAAAGCTGGCCGCAAGATAGAGAGCCTTGGAGGGATGGCCCAGGGGTTTAGGGTTTAGGGTGTAGCTGAGTTCCCCAAGGGGAGGAAAATCAACTGACAGGATTACAGAAATACAAGACTGCAACATCACCAAAATCTTGCTACTAAGCTATGGCCGACCAGAACCCCCCCAACTGCCCAAAACTAGAGGGTCCTCAATACTTGGTTGGGCTCGAAGAGGGTACTTGGGAGGTCTAGGTAGGGCTTTGAGGGTTGTGGATTGAAGTATTGGTCTCCAGGGTTCAAGCTTAGGATTTGGGTTGTTCTCAAAATTATTGGCCCCTTTTGGTTATAGATTTATATTGCGGAGCAAATATTCAGAGGTACCAAAATGTGTCTGGGACCTGCGCTTTTAGGGTTGAGACTGCCAAGCGTTTACGGATCACGGTTTGGGTGTGACGAGATTTGCAGCCTGTTGGGGGGAGAGTATAGGGGATATCAAGGGGGATACTAGGAGTTTAGACAATAGCTCATATCTTTGTTTGTCAGGGATCGCCACGATTGGGGCATGCGTTGCACTGGCCTTTTCAAGGGCTACGGCTACACGCCTGTTGTTCCAGTAGAAAGACCAGAGTGACCACACGCATAATAAGGAATAAGGAAAAGACAAAACAAACTTGGAAAATACACCACCGTGCATGGCCAGGGGGCAGGTCATCTTGCTTGCTGTGCTTCTGCACGTAACGCGCGATGCTGTGCCGGGTAGTTGCGCAAAACTGCCTCTCTGGTATTGAGATGAACTGCGCTTCCAGCATCTCGTTCCACACAGCTTTCCTTGACACGGTGCACCCTCTCTAGAAACATGGGGCTCACACACTGCTCGTCTTGGGTCGGAGCTGTTCCGCAGTAAAAAAAAGTCCTATCTCAGTCCTAGTCTTGAGCTACAATGGTTTGGTTCTCATGCTCGGTGCGGATTCCCAATGTTGCTCCTGTTTCTGTTTCTTCTGCCTCTACTGCTGCTGCAAGTCCTCCTGCTGTTGTTTTCGCTGGGATTAAATCACGAACTGCAATTGCTCGTACTATGACTGCTGCTACTAGCAGTGAAGCTGCCATTGTTTGAAGTTTTGTGCTTGCCCTTGTGTTGTTGTTGCTCCTGCTGCCGGCATCATCCATACTGCCACTGCGGCTGCTACTAGCACCCGCCGCCGCCACTGCCATGGCCACAACGACCACCTCCGCCGCGTACGACTCCCATCTTTCTGCAGCTACGATGCCCGCTGCTACCTCTGCTGGTGCTACACTTACAACACCTCCACTCCTTTTGCACTAGCATTGCAGCTAACTCAGTCTCCACAATTTCGCCTTTAGCCAGCAAGAAAAAGAAAGCATCCTGGCAGAAGAGATTCAGGGGTGTGAAGCAGGTGTCGTCAAAGACAACCCAGGCCCCCAATCTTGCCAACCTTGGCTGCTCTTCTTCCCAACAAAGAAAGCCCAACCTGGACCCCAGAAGTGATAACAATATTCGCCCCAAACCCTCAAACATTGCCCAAAAAGCCGTTATTCTACATACTTGTGGGGTTCAGGAAGAGGGTCCAGCACCCAATAAAGTAGAGCTTGTTGTTCACCATGGTAGGCATATTGCGTTGAAGGACCCTTGGGGATAGGCATCTGGAGGTTGTACCGCAACTCCATGAGGTGCATCTAACCCTGGCAAGTTGGATTTAGAGTTTAGGGTTTAGGCCATAGAACATGGCTCTGAGTATACTAGAATGAGATCCCCATATACCCCATGTTCTATCTACTTAAGGGGGACTATAGGGTATGAATATCATATAGGGTTTAGAAGCTTCAGGTAGCTTCCATGCTCCATTAAACTATGGTTTCTTCAAACGCGGCTACCTTAGGGACTCCAGTGACCCAGTATGAAAGACAGCCAATATTTTCTACAGAATTTAATGCACGTGGGTTCCCTATTAGGGACTCTATTAGGGTTTACGTTTTAGGGTCTAGGGTTTAGGTAGGGACTATCATCACTGTTAGAGGTCCCTGAATGAAGCTAATATTGCCAGTAGCTCGTGTAACCATTTGCGCGGGCCAGCAGAGGAGCAGTAGGTATGCTCCAGGGTTGTCTTGAGAACGTCTAAAATCACCTCCTAAACCCTAAACCCCACCAAGCAACGCTCTTGCGTTCTTGAGGTCTGCTTTGGCAGCCTGAGGGTCATGATCCCCATCGATGTGGATCAGATCCGCTCTCTCCTCAAACGTGGGGCTAGGGTTTAGGGTTTAGGGTCTAGGGTTGAGGGTTTGGGATATATAGGTTTTAGGGTTCGGGGTTTTGGGTCTATAGGGTTCAGGGCTTAAGGATTCGGTTTTAGGTATCACGGTGCAGGGCCAAGCATTTAGGATTTGTTTTGGGGTTTAATTTAGAACTCAGGATTCAAGGTTCACTTTGGGGCTAAGCGGGGATTGCGTAACTGAAAATGTCGGTCTCCCAAAATTAGGGGTACCTTCTTGGGGCTCCCCATAGTAAGGATCAATGTGTTGGAATCTACATTAGGGTACCCTATTGACCCTAAAGGTCCAAGGACCCAAATAATAGGGTTTTAGGGCCCAAATACCACTATATCTATAGTATTTGAACCCTAAAACCCTATTATTTGGGTCCTTGGGCCCTTAAAGGTGAGGGAAACAAGCAAATCTTTCGCGCCGAAACTTCCAAACCTAACGCCGTCCTCGTGGTCTGCTACCCATCTTGGCAGGGTCTGCTGAGACTTGCCTCCAGCACAAGCACAAACCCTAAACCCTAAGCCCTAAGCCCTAAGCCCTAAACCCCAAACCCTAAACCCTAAGCCCTAAGCCCTAAACCCCAAACCCTAAACCCTAAAACCCAAACCCTAAACAGCAGTAATATCTTCGAAAAACATAAGAGAGTACAATTATAGCAGCAATACAGTATTGTAATATGCAAATACTCTTATGGTACTACTATTTGGGGATTGCACCCTCGACCCTTAACCCTACAAGCCCAGATGAAGGGTTACTTATATAGGGTATACTAACCTAAACCATACCACATTATCAATTCCTGGCATTGAAACCCTACATGGCACCTTATAGATACTTAATGTCCTTTGGGACTCTAATGCTCAGAACTCTCAGGTTGTCAAGTTCATGGTACAATTTTGCATCCGTCATATTATCCTGCAAACTCCCTCAACACTTCAGGCAAGCCATAGCACCTGAGCAATCACTCGGTCTACAATCGATGTACCAGGGAAACCTCAAAGCTTTCCCTAGGGTTCGAAGTAATCCAAAAGAGGTGACTTGCCAAACTATGTGGTACTTCTGGACGTCGAGCTTTGGGGTTAGACTCAACGGAAGAAAGTCTAAGTTGCCAGGAACAAGACGAAGACGACCCGGAAACGCGGCTTGCAGAATGTCGAAGCAGGCCCTTGTGTAAGCGTGCTCACAGAGATCGAAGGCAATCACCTCGCAAGAAAGGGGCCCTTTTAGGTGCTTCCAGGGGAAATATAAGTATATGTGTAGATAGATATATACATATATAGGTAATACCATAACACATATGGTTTTGGCTGTCCAACAGTTAAGTTAAGGGTGCCATTTCTGGCGACTTTACACTTACTGAGGATTATGCAGCTTATGAAAACTACATTGTAGATTAATTTATAGTAGTGACCCCCCGACGATTCCCTGGTAGTCCCTATCAATACCTCCAGCATTCTCTGTCTTGGACGGATGGAGATGCATTCTGTGACGCACAGGCTGGCTCAGAAACATCTAGGTCCTGTGGTTCTGCTAAGTTCGTCCCTAAACCCTAAACCCTCCTATAAAGCTAATCTACATCAATCCGTGTGTCCATGGACGGAGTCCCTCTAAAGCCTCACACTGCTACAGTGCTATACCCGTTTTTAACCCGATGGTATCAACAGACTCTTTTTTTTTTTTTTTTTTTGCCGGTTAGGGTTTAGGGTTTATATGGTAGTTTCCCAAAATAGGGGGACCCCAATATAGACCCCAAAATACTATGATCCTTAATATAGGGACCCCCAAAATGGTACCCCTAATTTTAGGAAACTCCCATATAGGTTTAGGGCCGCATCATACAACTGCGTCACCTGCAGCTTGGGGTGTGCCAGGAGCATGAGGAGGCATGAATGCCCAGCGTTGAAGCCAATCTCGACCACCACGCTGTCCTCAAGGTAGAGTAACCCTAGAAAGACCATAAAACCCTGTATCATCCCAGCTCCGTTTCATGTTCCATATTCTTTGTAGCTATTGGGATAATGCCCCTAACTTCTACGGAAGTCCTATATCTACACCAAAATATACATACATGAGCTAGAGTCCAAACTCCTAGTGTCCCCGTTTACGAAGTTTGGACTATGGCTCAAATGGGTCCTGAGGCTTGGGACTGGAACAGTTGCCCCAAAATTCAACGCGTGACCTTCTCCGGGACAATGAACCCTCCCGAAGACTACCTAAAGGGTCCATGTACCAAATAATTTGGGGAAGTATATGATGACTATACACTTGGACCCTTAGGGCTACGCGTACTCCTGGACCTCAGCCCTTAAACAAAACAACGTCTGAACCCCAAGAGCTGCCTCAAACCCTAGGGTTTAGGGTAAAGTCTCTAAACGAGTCAGTACGGAATAAATAACAAGATCCCACAAAATCTCCCAGAGCAGCCCCACAAACCTCATGCCTTCTTTCTCACTACCAGCAGGGAAGGAAACAGGCTGAAACCCCAAACCCCTGAACTCCGGACCACTACGACCCAAACCCGCCGACCAAAACCTTGAACCCAACTTCAAATTCTACACACCTTTTTAAACCCTCAACCCCCCAAACCCCCATATTCCATAAATCCGTAAACCTCAACCCTCGAGAGCCCTACCTAGACTTCTGTACCCTACCCGTTTGGTAGGATACCAAACGTAATGGCGATTCTCTTCTCTATACAAAATCAGGTAAGCTAAAAAGGGGAGAGGATACCTAAACCCTAAGCACCTAAACCCTAAACCCCTAAACCCTAAACCCCTAAACCCTGAACCCCTAAGCCCTGAACCCCTAAACCCTAAACACTAAACACCCCAAACCCTCCTCCAGGGGCAGTGACTTCGCCAGGCTGAAAAGGTTCCGCTGCTTCGGGAGGTTCTTGGGATTGGGCTCTTGGCTGTGATGCATGTACCTTAGGGTTCAGGGTTTAGG